GGGGGTTGATGGGGGGTTTTTTCGTGTGAGGGAAGTCGAGTTACTCCCAGTTTGAGTGGGGGGGGGATAACTTGGGAATTTCTAAGCGCCAAGTCCGGGATTACGAGCGGCAAATTTTCAGTTTCAGAGGGTTGCAACCTGGGGGAAAGCTCTTGGGGATGCATATATTCCGTCGTGGTGTCTCAGAGAAGGTGGACATGCTCGACTGTATAAAATTTGAGCTAGTGACGAGAAAAAAGAGGAAATACCCGCAGTGCGAGAGAATTGAAAGGAAAATTATTGAAGAGAAGTTCGAATGGATTATTTCCATGAAAATATTAATTCATCAAATAAACAGTGGGTTGAACCTGATGCAATGGGTGCAAGAGCCTCTCGATCTTGACCCAATCGAGTTTTCTCATCGGACAAATACTTGTGAAATACTAGTCATGAAGTAAAGGGAGAGCTGTTCATGCACAAGTGTGTGGTCGCCTCGGCCAAGGGCAAAACAATCGATTCTCCTCGCGCACTTTCGATTATCATCGGTTGCATGACACCTGCACATCAATAATGCAAATTCTAGCCTCAATACCGATCATACCCACCACCAAAGCCGCCGAGATTATCGATCAATGGGGAAATCTCATAAATTCCATCATAAAATATAAAATTGCATACGATCGATTTTTTTCGAATTTGCCTCCCCTACAGCCATCGACATCTCCTATAAATCGATAGTGAAGAGAAATAAATAATCGTGACTGGATGAAAAAATTCATTAGGGAGAAATAACCGAAATTAATTATCTCTATATAGGCTCTGACTTTCGAGGCCATAAGAGAGAAAAAAGAGACTCAAAACCGGATATCTTTGCGGTCATCGTTCCCCACCTCCGTCGGACTTCCTTTCTCGTCGAGGAAAGTCGTGGCAAAATCAAATTGAGATCACACTGCAATTAGGCGGTTCCCGGTTAGCCAACAGGACTCCATTTGTAATTACACCTTTTCACCTCCAATTGACAGGGGAATAATTACCTAACCACCTGAGACACAAACCAAAGTAAATTTGCGACTAGACTTGCGCGCGAAAAGAGAAGAGAGACAATAACTCGATTATTTTTTCTGGTCAATTGTGAGAACGAAAATATCTCAATTCCCGGAAAGCAATTGCACAGCTCCACCGCATTTATAAGTTCATTTAATCGTGGGAGAGAGAGAGGCATTTTTTTCAATGAAATTTTCGACAGGAGCGAAAGGAAACAAGCAGTTAACCGAGCCGATTTGACAGGAAACATTTTAATAAATTAAATCATTAAAAATAATTTCTTGGAGGGTGTTCTGTGAGTGAGAGAGTGGGGTAATTTAGCCGTTTGTTATTCTTTTTTTGTAAAATTGATCATCTGCCGATGCACGAATTTTCAGACCGTTTTACGTAATTTTCAGGCAAAATTAAAAAATTTATAAATCGAATAATTGCAATACTGAGAAAAAAAAATCGAGTTCGGAGTATTTGTGTAAAAAATCAATTTCAATCGACAATATCTTCTCGTAATGATAATTATACAATTTTTTCTACAACCTGCCGATTTCCCAAGTTCTTTGAACAAATTATCATTTAGGATATAAACAGAAACGGTGATTTGATTTCTCACCTGAGCTCCATAAAACTCATCAATCCTTCGGTAATAAATAACAACAGCCAGCAAATTCTCAATATTGCAACTGAAATTTATGGCACAGAGATAATGGCGGGTAAATATCAAATTGAGATGGATATTGAGTTGAATTTTTCGATTAAAAATAAAAAGCGAGCAAGCTAACGGTACACCGAGATTCGGACATTCCCTTTCACTTCTCAAGCCTAACGATACAAATTTATAGTCCAGTTTGCGTATGTAATGAGGCTAAGAGCATCATTACTCACAACTTGGCTTGAATTTAGATTTTCAAAAAATTACAGCATTTGAAACTCAAATGCTCGTCATAAACGTGCAGAGAAAAAGCTGATTTTTCCATAAATTTCATTCGACAGGGCACAATAATGGCGTATAATTTTTCCAGAATAAAACCAAAATAGTATTTTTTATTGAATTTTGTTATCCAGTGACTGTAAGAATTTTGCAAAGAAGTTGAATTATGTTGAAGAGAAAAATGAATGAACGGGAGAGAAAACATTAGACCATGATTTTCATTATATTTCATAAACAAAATGTCATGATAATCGACTCGTGACTCAGGCAATTCACGGAATGAACAAATCTCTCACGTCCTTCAACTGTGACTCGAATTTCAATTCAATAACGGTTTACTTTATTAAATCGAGGCTGTAAAAAATTTATTTTCGATCTATGAATTGTCGATCCATTGTGATTCAATAAAAGATCACGAGTTAATTAAATTTTGCATAATTCCGACACCGTGTCACGGATTTTTTATTATATAATAATTAATTGAGAGTGCAAGGTTGAGACCTGCAGAACGCCAGTTCAAAACAAATGATAATTTGAAAATCATCAATTATTTTTTATTTTTCTCAAACAAATTAATTACCCAACCAATTCTTAATCTCATCCCCTTCCCCCTACCCCTGGACGATCGATAATCTCTTGGGAATTCAATTAAATCGATCATTTAGTGAAGAAATTAATGATAAAAATGCAGGAGAAAGAAATCGCAAGGGCAGTGAGAAGAACTCGAGTTTTCTCTAACGAACGTTAATTCCTTAATTAAACAGCGCGCAAAAGTGTTCAAAGAAGAGAGAAGAGAAACTCCTTTACCCCCGACCCCTCTAACCCCTCCAATCCCACCCCCGGGCTTAATTTGTACTTTTAACTCACTTCCATCAACTCTTCTCTGATTCTCACAATTTTCTCTAAAAACTAGTAAAATCGATTCCAACGCAACTATCGATTAAAAATTTGAAAAATTAATGGAAAAATTCAATTTCATCTTCAAGAAAAATCCCTTTCCTCCCCCGAAAATCGTAGATTATGCCCCCAATGTAGAAATGATTCTTGTCTTGACACAGAAATTTACGAATTGAATGATTGAAAAATTGAATTTCTGAAAAAAATCACTTTCCTCGGGAGAATGTGCAGAGAATGAATTAATTATCAAATAAATTGACGAAAAAAATGCGTGAAACATTCAATTTTTAATTCAACCTCCGCAATATTCGAATAACCAGGAAGTAAATCATCGATCCATGCATGAGTACCTGCGAATATGTACTTAATACGGATGAGAGTGCTTTGAAAATGAATAGAAAATACATTCTCATCATCCAGAGGCGTGCTAACACCTTTTTATTGTGCGACGCCTTGAAACAATCATGTACTTTCGATTTAACTATCTCCGAACCGCCAATCATTTCAAATCACTTCCTCCCGCTCTTTTCTCTACAAAAAATACAAGACCTCTTTTAAAATCCACTCATTTTTTTTATCACTATTCTATCGAAAAATATTCGGCATTTAACACGACAGTAAATAAAAAAATTCCTTAAAAAAAATTTTTTTGTAACAAAATTTCAATTTTAACCAATATTGCCTGAAATTAAATATTTCACACAGATGTGGGTAATAAATCACAGATTGTGGAACTTGCAGTAATAATAATTAAATTTGCATTTTTTTGTGTTCCCGCGATTCTCATCCCCACGAAAGGCCATCGAAAGACAAGTGTCCCATTGCCCCTTTCTCACGTGTGCGCAGAATGCGTTAATATTTCAAAACGACGCGTAAAAAAAAATACAACAAAGGGACGAGTCACCGGTGAAAACAATGCGTTGGACTAAGTAACCCGTCGACGTACCATCCAGGAGTCGATTTCACTTCAGGTGTGGCAATACTTGCGCATTTCTCTGAGTATTCATACACATGTACCCGCGCATTGTCTTCATGTACCGGTGATTTTTATTTAACACATTTATCTCGTGCAGATCGAAGGCACTCGATAACAAAGACGACGAACAGCCGAATAATCGCGCGATTAACGGAGTAATTACGAGAACAACCGAGAACAAACGAGTGAACTTGGGATGTTTTTTTATTTTTCATTCTAGATGGTTGACACTGGATTCAGTAAAGGTTTCCTTATAAAAAAAATTCAAAGATAATTGAGGAAGTGATTTTTTACCGAGGAGAAAGACACCATTCAACTTCGATTATTCCATAAACAAAATTAATGCGAAACCATAAATGCCGTCTGCTTTTTATTCAATCTCCATTCATTCGGTAAACAGTCGAGTTAATTACCCATTACGTCAATCACGATGATTACCACAGGGATGAGCAATTATCCCGGATAATTGCGCAATTACAGACTCGGCCATATTTTTTGTTGGTTGAGTAGAAAAAATGAAAATTTTGCAATTTTCCACCGGAATAAAAAACAATGACGCAACATCAAAAAAAATGAACAACTTGGCTCTCTAAATTCAAAGTGCACTGTGGGCACCCGTAAAAATGACGACCACTAAAACTAAACGATTGATAGTGGAAAATCGCCTCCTAAACCGCCCACAACACCCATCGTTTTCCACCAAGCCCCAGAAGAATAAAAAAAATGCGCCCCTGCCGTGAGAACCATCTCATAAACGAGTAAAAACATTACAATTATTAATGGAAAGTGAAACAAGTTGTGATACGACACGGAGAATGAAGAAAAAATCACGAGGGGAAATAGTATGCTCCGATTGTTATGGAATACGTAAGAAGCCCCTGAGAAGATCTCATAACGCATATAGTGGGAGGTAAAGAGGGATTTGTGTCGCCAGGTGTGTAACGGCAAATGCCGACATCGAACACCTCTGCAAATCTCAAAAAATAATAATAATAAGAAAAAAAAATACGAATAACATATTGGGGGAGAAGGCACGACTCAGCGTCCTTTCCATTTCCCTCCTACTTTGAAACGAGACCTCCTTCTCAGTCAAGTCCGAGGTGGCCGTGGAGGGAAAGAGGGCCCCAACATTAAACTCAATACTAAGGCCCCGTCCTCTCAGTTTCCGCGTGGACTTCACACACTGGAGTTCTCCAGTCTGTAAAACGCGTTCTTTCAATCCATTCGAGTTTCGATTTGTGAACCATGTCGAGGATTTATTCGTCATATTTTTTTTTCATTCTAGCAGGTAAGCGCAATCACTCTACCCCGGTAAAAAAAAATGTTATCGGAATATTTTTTCCAAATTTTCCAAAAATTTCTGGAAAATTTTTAAGAGAATTTTTTTAATAAAAGAAAAAAATTGGAAAACAGAACAATTTTATTTTTGGGAAAGGTTTTGAAAAATTTTCAAAAATTTGAATAGGAAATTTTTTTTTATCATTTAGATGGCGTATTTTCTGAGAATATTGAAAAATGAAAAAAATAAGAAAACAACAGTATAATTAAAAAAAAAATTATATTCCCAAAAATTTTTAGAAAATTATTTTAAAAATTTTCCGACACAAATTTTTGAAAAGTTTTTGAAAACATTTCCCAAAAATACAATTTTTTTTTGTTAAAAAAAAAAAAATTCTGAAATGTTTTCCAGAAATTTTTTGAAAATTTGGAAAAAAATATTGCGATCACAATTTTTTTTTACCCAGGCAGCTACCTATAAATATACCTCTACCGAGAAATTCTGCGTTATTTCGGCGGAATGGTCTCGCGTCGAGACTTTTGGGGAGAAAATCTTGCGAGATATATTTGCGGTGTAAAAGTCAGTTCTCGATGTTATCAATTCAGTGTTTATGATGGGACTTATCAATCGTTTGGGAATTAAAATCCACTGATTGATCAACAAAAGGACTAAACAGAGTGATAACGCGAAGGCTTGTACCAGTTGCTGGGTGGACAGGATTACGTGTGTTCCGGTGGTGTCCAGTCTCGTACGATTTAATCCGTATCGTCGATAATCCCCCGAATACGATGGGATATATAATCATTTCCACCGGAGTGGGCGGTTAGGTGTGCATATCCTCCCCCCATTTGGAAAACCCCCGTGTTCCCAGGGCATCGGTTGTCAAATGACAGTCCTGTCACTCCCCAAATTATTCCAGCGCTACCCACCCCCCTGTCGTCATCCAAATTTTCCATCATCCAAATTGCTCATGCATTGAATATTTTCTTTGACTAAAAATTCACGTTTTCTTCCCAATGATTCGATTGGATTACCATGAGAATTACCAATGAAGAGGGAAAATTGAATAAAAATTACGGAAAAAATTCGAGAAGCAATTCCGACAAGGCAATTGTGATTTAATTAAAGGCAAATCGACCTCGAAATTTTTTTCCCTCGCCTGAGGACTTCCTCGTCGCTTCACTCAGAGTTCCAATTAAAATATTGTCCTAAAACTTCGATGCCAGCCGCACCACCAAGACTAGGGGAACCCATTGGTTTTGAAACTGTTAGTTCTCGAGGACGAAACCAACGGGGAAATCAAGCAAACCCGAAGCTTTTATTTGCATAAAATGATGGAACTCGAACACGTCACGTTCTCACATCGCAGAATCCCCCATCAAATCCCGTGGAATTTTTCATTTCCCGGCCCCTCGATTTAAAAAAGAATCATAAAAAAGTGGTACACGGTGAGGGGGCGGAAATAAAAAATATAAAGGTTCATACACTTTATTTCCCCTGGCCAAAGGCCCTAAAATTCACCTTTGCTTCGCATTCTCACCTCGGTACACGAGGTCTTGTGAAACGACTGGCACGTCCCCGCTGGCCATTAACTTCCCTGAAATACCCACTCCATCCCCCCTTCAACCCCTCGGGTTTTGCTATCCATGAAACCTACGCGGATACGTGCACCAGGCGAAAGACGGAGAGGAAAATTCAGGGGTTGAAGGGGGTGAGGAGAGAACTTGGGTAGAAATGGCGCTCGTAAGGACATAAAACGCAACCCCCTTGATCCCCCTATCCACCCCCTCTATCCCTCCCCCTCAACCTCCAGGAGGTACCGCGTGAAAACTCTGCTGGGTACTGCTGACGCCGACTTTCCTCGCGAAAGCTCTTTCCTCGACCCCTACCAATGTACATGTGCACTGAAACATCCGCATTTCTCGTTAGAGACCAGTCCCTCGGGCTTTTATACCAAACAATTTCGCACTAATAACCAGACAAAGGGAATATAGAAAAAAAAAAAACTATATAGGAGCCACGAAAAATAAAAAATGAAAATAAAGTAGAGGCAAAATAAAATAGTTAATGGGGTGGAAAAGTATGGGGCTCTGTACTTGGTGGATTATTGACACGGCAAGATAATATTCTTCTGCGGAATGGGAAGTTTAAAAATTCAAGGTAATTATTTTATTCTGGGTGTAATGATGATTTTTCCTGGATTCGAAATGAAGCTGAACATTTTGGACAATTCCCCGAGTTGAGATTTGAAAAACGCCAAAAGCGAATGTAACGTCATTTTTTTTTTCTACCAAATAAAATAAAAATAAATGTTTCATTGATATGAAATTTCAAATGAAATCTATCCTACTGAAATATAAAATCGACAACTAGATTCAAAATTATATTATCCGTATCAGACACGATACCACGATTCCATGGGACGTCAAAAATATAATAATTCCACTCCACCCTGTTACATTCATCGTGGACCCCTCCACCCCCGAAAATAAACCAGTTTAATCTCGAATTTCGATACGTGGTGATATATTCCGTCAAAACCGCCTAGACTTAATGCCGAATGATCCAGTGAGGATTGTCAGTATCCAACGAATAGAATTCCCATACACCTGTGCACACGTACAACACAGAAATACCAAAGAGAGAGAGAGAGTGAGAGAGAGTGAGAGAGAAGAGGGAGAAGATAGACAGATAGATGAGAGAGAAAATCCCGGGTAAACACAGGCGGATCATTTGCTCCATTCTAACCACGTCCACGACCACCACGCGATCTCCTATCCAACCCCTAACCACCCCCTCCTCAACCAACCCCTTTCCACCACCTGTGCAATGCTCAATGCATGGAGCAACATCCAACCACGAGTATGGCCAGGATGGAATGATGAGGGGGTTGGTCGATTTCTCCCTTGTGTTGAGATATCGTGTATACATATGTAGCATGTATTCTGGAGTGGGTTGAATGAGGGAGGGATGCATCAACGGTTCGGGCCAGTATACATGTGATCACCATAAAAATTTATGTACATCCGACGCATTGCCCGGGTAAATTGTATTATCGTGGGACTTCACTTGTGTATGCAAAAACGTTATTATTATTCGTTTCGAGTAACATGTTCACGCAGGGAAAATTTTCTTTGATGCCACCAGTGACAATGTATGGATTTTATTTCTATTTTTTTTTTTGTTTTTTCCCCTCTCGTATCTCATCACATTGTCAATGGTATGCTGTTTGTTTCAGTAATAATCGGAGAGGGATGTACAGCGAGAAATTTTGTTATTGATTTTACCGAGTGGATTTTTGCAATTTTTTTTTTCTCGTTGGTGAAACCTTTATGTTTCGGTGTGAGAGACGATGGGAGATTTTCTGGGAGAATTGTAGTTGAATTGAAAATGTAGAACTTTTGAACTAATTCATTTGTAATGTTGAAAAAAAAAATTGATGTCGGAAGATAAAGATATTTTCAATGTCTCATTGAGAGGAATCTCTACGTAATTGAAGGTAATGAAAGCTTTTCAATGGAAATCCCACAGAGTATAAAACCCATTCCCTCTTATTTTTCGTCATTCTTTTTTTCCCCTCTACTTCCATTGCACAATGGTGTAATTATAATACGGTATAATGGCCCAATCACTGGCACGAGTTTATGCAGATCATTATGACCATAATCAGACAATGCACTGGGAGGGAAAAAAAAGGTTTGGAATTCCACCGAAAAGAAAAAAAATAGAAGAGCAAGTGAAAACGAGTGAAGGAAAAATAGTTAAGAGAATGCGTAATTTGTTCGTACAATTTCAGTACGTATAATTGTCCCCTCGACTTTCTCGTATCACAATCACGTACATCATTCTCCTAGAATCTCGAACTAGATTTCTAACGATTAGACACCGGTACGACATTGAGATGCGCGTGAACAAGAGAATTGACGGTACGTTGTCGTGTGCGTGGAGAATTCACTGTATGTCGAGTTATGAATTTTCAATGAAAAAGTGAAATGCATAATAACTATTGACACGGTTGGTAGATGCTGAGAGTTAAAGATTTTATTGGAGTGGAATGGAAATTGTTGAAATCGAAACACGTGCTGTATTGCCATGCAGAAGACAGTCCAAGGAGAGTTTCCTGGGTGGTTTGGGTGGAAGTGGGAGGACAGAAGCAACAAGAGTGTTGAGGGAGTGTGGAGTCTGTTGAGGTAATAACGTTCTACCGAAAGCATATACGCGTGGTCGGATAATAACGTATTCCCCGATCACATCGCCAACGACCTCGGTGGATACACAAGCATCCACAAGCACATCCAACAACTCTATACCATATCCCCAGACCTAGCTGGCCACAAACTATTCTCGTAATCACTCTCTATTTCATGCAGGACACGGTGCAAAATCTCAACTCCTCTTTCCACCCTACCTCTTCCTCCTCTTCCTCCCCTTCCTCCTCTTCCTCCCCTTCCGCCTCTTCCACCTCTTCCTCCACCCCTCCAAATGTTGAAATAACCACCGGGGACTTGAGGAATATACTCTCAATGTATGGGACAATTGACTTTTTCCGCGGGTTGCAGATTTGATTTTTTTTTACCGCGAATTAAAGGAATTTTTCTGTCCTCATGTGTTTTTAGAAAAGTTGGGAATTTATGTTTCCGAGAAAATCGAGAGTCGAAATGGAAATGAGAGTCTGAACCGATTTTTTAATAAAATTGGGAAACCAATCGGATATTAAATGTTTTGTAATGATGTTATTCATTTAATTATTCTGATTTGATGGAGTTTCACGTCAAAAACAATTTTCTCGGATACAGTTTGAATAATTCACGAGGTTATTAATATTTTTCATTAAAAATTTCTTCGAGGAATTCATTAGGACTCAATTAAAAAATTTTCCACACGTTCAACGCGGCTGATTAAATCCCGCTCGTTAAATGTCAACTGAATTAATAAAAGACAAATCAACTGATCAATATCAACTGTCGGAAATTTCGAGATTCTATAATTTCAATCTCAAACCTCCAAGG